TTTGAGAGAGATCACGACTACAGTTGGTGCCATATATAGTTCATACGAAGTCTCTAAAACATCTCCCTTCCAAGAACCTCTGTAGATGGTTATTAATGTGATTTTAAAAATATCCGGATACGTTTATACGCAGCCTGAGTTCCCGAGTCTGAATCGGAAGTTCAGCCGGTATGGCAAAGATGTGCTGTCACATACCAAATGTCTTCGCTTATACTATTAGCGCAACAAAATAATCCTGATGAGAAAGATACGACCTTGTGTGAATAAACTATCTGAAACTTGCCGAATACATAAAGCTGTAAAAAGTATTGAGCCCGGAGTGTGATTATTTCACGGACGCATAATATCACTCTGCAATATAGTCAAAATGTACGTTTTCAGGTGGTGGTCGAAATATTCCCTCGCCGAAATCTTGAGTACATAGTGTACCCTTTTGAACAATTGGTTCAAGGCCTGATTTGTTGTGATAAGATATGAAGCAGCCACTGAAATAAAATTTGGTAGCGATTGTAGATTTTGATGTTCAGTGAAGTGAAGATAAGAATGTTATGATGACGTTTTGACGATATTTTTAGTTCTACAAATAAAAGTCTCTTTGATGTCGCGTTTTTATTTTAAGAATCTTTCAGCCTCTTCATAACTAGAACAGCTAGAAGATGCCCATTTTGATGTTTTTTTTACTTTACAGAATTTTGATACGCTACTGTTAGTTATGTTGTCAATGGATATCATAAGAAAAACAAGCAAACAAAACCATAATATGCAAAAAATGCGATTGTTTACCAAAATATTMATTTGCTTATATTTTTTTTAGCGCTGATAAGAACATCAAATCACTCCAAATACAGTCTTATCTAAAGTTATCTTATGAATGTRTTGAGTGTTGAGTGTTTTAATATTCATCTATGCCATCTATAGTTCCGCCTAAATSGCTTCAGCCAATCAAAGGCCTGTACAGCTGGTTCATTTGGGCACTGTATCACCGCGTGTACCAGATTTGAATATAAAGTTTATAGTGAACTGTCCTCAAGTTGTTTGTTGTATTTTTGTACATTTCGACCATTTTATCGACTCTGAACATTAATGATGACTCTGAGACTCAGTTTATTCGTGCTATTACAGATTTTAATGTTAAAATCKAGTCTTATTTCGGGAGTCAAAACTCCCTACAAATTCAACGATCTATTGGTCTTCATGGCGAAGTCCTCAAACACCATGAACTACCAAGATATGCAAGACCTCTTGTCAAAGCTTCACTTTGAAAATTGCAATAAGACAGCCAGAAAAAAGGAGTGCAATCTGGTAAGAAGAGATATTATGCTAATATTTAAGCTGGCGTTCGATCTGTACKTTTGAGTTTGAAATATGTTGTTATAAAAATAGTGATAGGTTTACACAGGTTTGGTAGACATTATTACCCTGATTTCTTGTTTGTTGTGCTTAAATGCCATTGCTTATTGTTATGTATTATATCTTACAGTGTTTATCGGCAAAAGACCTTGGATTTGATGCCAATACTGTCGTGAACGGCACTGAATTTGCCGGCAAAGCACCATCGATTGTTTATTCACTTATGCCTGAAAAGAATGCTGGTCAATCGAACAATGAATGTGACGGGATCCCTTCGCTACCCACAAAACTGTTCGAGACGTTAGCTCACAATTTTACCCAYGGYAAAAGTCAACGAATCACCCAGCACGCGCTAGAACAYATCCTAGAGAAGGTTAATCTCACACTGAAGGCTCATTTACACAAGAAGAAGGTACGTAGACTACACAGCTATGTCGTGAAGCTATGATAAACACGTTTCATTTTACTGCTTGTTGATTATAACATACTTAAGTTATTTCTACCGACTTTGTACAAAGTTTTCTGTATAGCTTTCATTGACTTGTTTGATTCTGGGAAGATAATTTCTAATATCCTTTACAGAGGAATTGCACATACTATTTTAGTGGGAAAATATGATGACTAATCATCTTTTGAATCATCCACCATTTTGTTTTAGAAAATACCCAATGTGCTGTTGTTTTTGAAAACTTTAATCGTACATTTTATTTCAATCAATATTTCAGTATCCTGGCAGTATAGGTCAAAGTAACATAACGAAGATTAGACTTACGTAAACCTTTTGTATTTCATAACGTGTCGATGATGTGCGTAGGTTGCAAGCGGTCATAAAACGTTTGTTCAAGCATATGATACCTATTGTCCTTATGGCAAAGTCCACTAGGACTTTAATCCTTTAAAATAGGAAATGTTGAGACTGTGCAGATTAATATTTGTCCTGGTAGTTGATTAATATTCGTTCATAACAACAAATTATTTACTTTCTAAATGAATCAGTTTAGGGAAATTGCTGTGTCATCTGGGATTCTCATACACTTTCTGATGATGACTAGGCACAAATGACAGCTGATGACATGTTGAGTTCTTATTGGCTGTTCAACTCTGGGAGACAATGAACAGGGGTAATACTATATCGTAGTTTCCACTTCTCTTTGGGAAACACCAGCTGTCAAAGAGATTTGAAAACATATTGCTTTCCTGAAGTTCCAGGG